GTAGATCTGGTGTGGGGGCCAAGAATTTGCATTTCTGAAAATTTTCCAGGTGAAGCTGCTGCTTCTGGTTCAGGGATCTAACTTCAAGTATCACTGGTATAGTGATATGGCTGATCAAATGGTCTTTGGTACGTTTTCATAATATTGGTAGAATTATAAACTAGTTATGAATTTCCACCTAATGAGTTTAGTTTAAAACATATGGAAGGGACTTCCCTGGTGGTGCAGTGGTTGAGAGTCCACCTGCCAATGCAGGGGACACGGGTTCATGCCCCGGTCCGGGAGGATCCCACGTGCCATGGAGCGGCTGGGCCCGTGAGCCATGGCAGCTGAGCCTGCATGTCCGGAGCCTGTGGTCCGCAACGGGAGAGGCCACAACAGTGAGAGGCCCACGTACTGCAAAAAAAAAAAAAAAAAAAAAAAAGCAAGAAAAAAGCATAGAGAAGAAAAAAGTCTGAAAAGCACCAGTCACTAAAGTTTTTCCACACAAAATATATTTCATCACCAACAAAACTTGAAAATATCTAAACACCGTTGACCCATTTAGAATATCACAGTGTCCATTAGCTTATGAAAGCCTATAAGAATTATGTCAATAAAGCTACTTCTTGCAATATATTTAACCAAGTGTTTCTTAAACTTATTTGGTCATAAAACACTTTTCCAGGTATAACATGCTGTACACTAGTGTTATTCAGGACACACTTTGAGAAATGCTGTTCTAAAATAATCTCTTTCACAGGAAAGGTCAGGCATCCCTGGGGATCTGCCAGAATCATAGTGACTTGGTGCCTGTTCAGCTGCATTCATATCATACAGAGGAGTTATTTACTCTGTTCAGAATCGAGGTCTGATTTTCTCTAGTGTGACTCTTAGAATGTCGGAGTTAGTTATTTCTGAGCAAAATTATGTCACACTTAAAATTTACTTAAGGACAGAGATTCAGAAACCATAATAGGGGATACCAAAGGACTTTCAGGTATCAACTATCTCTATTCTAAGTATGTGTATCATCAGACACTTGATAATACAATACAGACTTTTGACCTGAATTGATATCAGACTAAACTGTTCAGTATGTAAACTTCGCCATTCAGTTTTTTAAAAATCAAGACAATGATTTTTCATATCTGATATTCTGAAACATTGCCTAGTCTAAACTTTCCCAACAACAGTTAAGCAAGCTCACCTTTTAGTTCTGTCAGAAGGCTGGAATGGAGTTCTGTTGGATCAAGTGACTTGGACCTATTTAATAAAACATAGGTGCTTTCCTACAATCATCTCACTACCTTGGCCTTTAGCTCCCTCTGACCATTGTTTGTCGACCCTTTTTATACGAACATACTTCTCCCTGATCATAGAGAAATCAAAAGTAAAAATATTTGAATAACTTTGCTTTTAACTCTTTTACCATTACACCATTAGCCTGAAGCAATGGGCCAGGGCTAGAGATAGATTTGAGAGTCAGCCTCATAAAACAAGAGGTGGAGTACAGGATTAGTTATACAATGAAAACTCCACTGCTGATGCTTATAAAATTCATTTGGTGTTAAATTTATAATTAGTGTTATTATTTAATATTCTAAGATAGTTCTGTATATCAATTTTGATAAATAACTGAACTATTTTACCTTAATGGTTTTATGTAGCTAAGCTTTTAAAAAACCAGACCTATAGCCTCTTGGGACATTCATATTTGCTTTGCTTTTCAAAGCCTTCTATTTCACAAAAATCACACAACACCATCTGTTAATAGTATATTTAAAAATGTTTGTATCTGGATAGTGCATTACAATTCGCAGGCACTTTTTCATTTAAACCTAATAACAATTTTATGAGGTAAGTAAAGTCAAGACTTCAGATGACCTTCAAAACAGCTTAGTCAAAATGCAAATCACTGTTGTTATTTTTTTTTAACATCTTTATTGGGGTATAATTGCTTTACAATGGTGTGTTAGTTTCTGCTTTATAACAAAGTGAATCAGTTATACATATACATATGTTCCCATATCTCTTCCCTCTTGCATCTCCCTCCCTCCCACCCTCCCTATCCCACCCCTCCAGGCCTTCACAAAGCACGGAGCTGATCTCCCTGTGCTATGCGGCTGCTTCCCACTAGCTATCTACCTTACGTTTGGTAGTGTATATATGTTGTTATTTTTATTACCAGTAATGTAATGTCTGTATGGCAGACATTCCTGATCCTTACTCTATCCCTTGCTCTTACCATCAATATGGGAAGTTTCATTTTCTACTTTTTCCATGTCTTCAGTTATTTTAATTTTTAAAGAATAAATTATTTTTATAATCAAAAACACTAAAGGATTTTAAAAGTCTGTTAGAACTGAATTAGCTTCTAAAGGGATATCACGTCTAAGGGGAAATCAAATTCATCATCATAAATGAGGTTTTTTCCGTACTAAACATAAAATATCTATATTACTGAGTGAAACAAAATAACTGCCAGAAATATAATTAAGGATTCTCTGAACAAGTCTGGAGCTGAGAATAAGAAATCAACTCTTACTGTCTCATCCACCAGTGTAAGAAGTGTAGCATAATCATGAAGCCTGAGGAATGCAGAGTGTCAAGCCCTTGGGTTTTCAAGTAGAAAACAGAGCAATTACCATTATTAAATGGTCAAATAATTTATATGCATTTATTAATAAAAATAGGTGAGTATTAACATTATCTGCATAAAGGAGAAATAAAACAATTGGAGAAGCAGATCAACGAAGGCACAAATGCATTCTCAGAGAAGGAGCACAAACTTTGGTGAGAATGATTGGTAAGTCTCTCTGAGGTGTGCAAGGGTGGTCAACATCTGTTTCATATTTAGATGTAGTCTGTCTGCCAGAGAGTGTCTAATCTCATTTCTTATATAGTATCCCTGAGCTTCAAGCTCTCTTTTCCTCATATCCAGGCATGTGGAAAAGTGATGGATGAGGCTCAGGAATTGAAAGAGGGTGTCAGTTTCACACTTTACTCTTTGCCCAACTGCATTAAGGTGGTTGCCTCAAAATGCTATATATCCAAGAAATGTGAAGGGCAGATATGGATGAAGGAATTTTTATTCTTCATCTCAATCTCTTACTTTAGTTACTAGGATACAGATATTAATAGCACTGGATGCAGATATTAACAGCACTGTGTATATGTGTTTGTGTGTAGTTTAAGTTCAGATTTCAACAATCAGAGCTGACTGGATTACCCCACTTAATACCCATTCCCTATTCACATATAAAGCTTATTCAAAATGATACTGCTAATGATATTAACAAGTTATTGATCTGATATTTTGCCAGGCTGTTTGGCAGGTCATGTGTTCCTAATTAAATTTTCATTGATCCTTGAGGAACAGCATTATAATGAACAAGGATTAGATTTGAAAGCTTTGCACACAGTATGCAAATATAAACATAAATATACAATAAATTATTTTAAAGAGTTTTTAAGGTCGGTTTTGCATACCTCTCCTCCATAAAAAATCCATAGATTCTTTTTAAAGTCACTTAACGTGCTAATGGTTCAAAACTGTTTTAGGTTTCCACTTAGAAGATGTATTGGATGCCCAGATACAGAACATAATTTAAATTTTTACTTAGCAGTATAATATAGTAGAGCTATAGGCTCTATGTTCAAATCCCAGACTCATTTTTTACTAGTAGTTTAACTTTGGGAAGTTTTTCAGCCTCTCTGTGTCTCTGCCTCATTTCCTCACCTATAAACCCTCATAAATTTGTGAGGATGACAGATATTCCATGTAAAGCTTCTCGCATGGTCAGAGTGAATGACCAGTAAGTCACTACCTTTTGTTTACTTAGCAGATTAAAAATCTGGCTAGACAGCTTGATGATATTCTCTTCCTCTCCAGAATGGTGGTGGTGTGCTTGGGTTCTATGGTATATATACACACTAGGAAGATGTCCCTTTTCTGAAGACACCCTCAGTGAATATTCTAGAGTTCCATGGTGCTGAAATATCTTGCAGGGAAAAACCTGGTGGTTAAGTAGGCCTTATGATTGTAATTTCAAGTAGTGATAAATATAAGTGCTGAGCATATTTAATCTCATTATATCAGGTAAGACACCTCTCAGGACTTGCAGCTCCCTTAACAACTAGATATTAAAAAGGCAATCAAACTCAGTGTTTCCTAAGGCACAAATCAAGTCAGGGTACATTCCTTTGTAAAAATGTGAAACAATAAATATAAGTGCTAAAATGCAAAGGGTTTCTGGAATGGTTAGATTTTTCTTGACCAAATCTCCCACCTACAGACAGCAATTTAATCATTTAGACAAATCTTCCTCAATTTAAATTAGAAAGCCACACGAGGCCTGGAGCAAGATAAACAGGTCCACAAATTAGAGAGTGTTGCTAGAAGGAAACCTCATAGCAATCTCCCTTAACTGCAATTACTAGCTGGGTTTTGCAAAGAATGCAGATTTATCTGTGAAAACTAATGTGTCCTTAGGCTAATACCCCTTATTTTGGTCTGGGACTCTGGAATGATAATACTCATGTTTGTAATTACCTTTGCTAAGCTTAAGAACCATGGGAAAGCCACTTTCATGTGATATTTGTGACCTTTTTTCTGCAGTAAGTTTTGGCATGGGCATGTCTTTGTTTGCCTATTTACAGTTCAAGTGAATTTCCAAGACTGTGAATTTGGAAGCTCTGGCTTTAGCCCTGAAATTCCACATTCCTGCTCTTTCCAGACTTCCTTACCCTACTGGACAGCCTAGTAGCTATCTCCATAACAAAGCAGGGCCTCTCCCGGCAGGTAAACCTACCCAGTGATTCCTCCCCTCAGGGGCGTGGCAGTACTATTTCCTGGAGCAATCTCACGGGGTGGTTCCACTTTGCATTTGCACTCAATTACTTTATTTGCTGCCTCCTCTGTAGCTGCCAGACCTGCTTCTGCTGTTGCTCAGGTAACTCCCATCTCTCCCTGGCACCACTATAGGCAGAGGTGGTTGATAAAAGGCTTCTAACATGTGCCTGCCTGCCTGCTTTCCTACCCCTTTCTTTCATGATCTCTCTCTGTTTGTTCCTTAGGGAGAGCATCTGGGGAGTACCTTGGTGACCACTGAGAAGATGATGAGCTCAAACTATTGGAGTGAGATGAGCAGCAGCAGCTGTGGGACTCAGCAATCCCCAGAAGTGCTGCAGTGCCAGCCCCAGCATTACCGCTGCTACCATCAGTCAAGACAAGCCCAGCAGCCTCCAGAAAAAAATGTAGTGTATGAGCGAGTGAGGACCTACAGTGGGCCCATGAACAAGGTGGTTGAGGCCTTGGACCCCATCGGCTTACAGGAAGTGTGCTCCCCTCTCAAAACTGCCTCCTCCTACCAAAGCTTGCTTTGGAGCGACCGTTCCCAGGTACCACAAAGACAGCTATGCCAGAAAAGGGAAATCTTTGTTGCCTTTGTTTGCTTTTGAACCTCATTTCTTTTCTTTCTGCTTCTCTGGCTCTGTTCTACAGGATATTATCTCTTGGATTGCAGCTATATACGCAATGTACGGTCACCCAAATTCCATCTCTTGGCTGTTCTTTCATTTACTAGTTCTTGTAGCCATTTGTTTATGAGTTCCAGTGATTTTCATAATCTAACTAGAGCATAGGATGGTTCATTTTTTGTTGAATTAGATTGGAATATATGACCTGAGGTATTCTTTTGCTCCTACCACAAAGCAATCCTCAACTAGAATACCATCATTTTTATAAAATAGGTTCCCACTGATTCACTTCATATCAAAAGTAAACAGGTTTTTTCGTATCAAATATGGCGGTGCAGGGGCAATGGCATGTATGGAGTGACGAGCAATTATTTGTGTTTAGCAAATAGGATGCTACTCCAGGATAAGTGACAGGCACAATGTCTATTTCAATTGTCATATGTGTTTCATCTTTTGAAAATGATGCATTTGTTCTTGCATAGTCAAGGTGGATAATTTATGAATATTAGTAGAAGGAATATTGAAAGAGTGAATATAAGATTGAGGAAGGCAAGATGTAAGCAACTGTTACATGAAAGCTAAAAATTGTGGAAGTCTAAGACACGCTTTAAAATGAAACAAATTTGTTTTTAAAGCGGTTAGTTTAACATCAGTATCTGTGTTAATAAACTTGCCAATGAGTATGAAAGAACACTGTAAGACAATACAAAATTAACAGCTCTATGTCTGTTTTCATCTTTGACTCTCTTTATATTAAATTTGCATGTCTTTAAGCTTTCTGGAAACTTCAGTCCAAACTAAAATTATGTTTCAAGATACAAGTAGTACTGTGAAAAGCTCAAAAAGCAACCATCGGGATGATATCCTATGTTGCATTGTTATGCTGATCTGGAATAAAATGGATTATTTTTCCCAAAACAATAATTTTAATTAGGATATGAAGCAACATTTCTAAAGTATATAATGAAACTATTTTAAAAAGAAGTTTTAAAAGATATAGGTAACCCAACAACTACAAAGGCCACAATTTTCCTGTTTTATTTCACTCCTAGCTTAATTTGAGGGAAAAATATGAAGAAAAACCCAGTATTCACTGTCAGTAATTTCCTATTTGAGAAAAACTCCACCTGCATTGAAGTCAAAGGGAAGAAAAATAAAAGGTCAAAACTACTAGTTTGTGATAATAATAGTGCAAATGTACATTCCAGTATTCAGTGATATTAATGAACAACAAAGTGGGTGTCACCTATGTTCCTGAGTAGCCCCAAAACAATGCGGAAGTTGAAACAACAGTTATCATTATCATACGAATGCTAAAATCACCCTATCTGGCGTAGTTATTTAAATACGTTAACCTCTTATCAACTTCCTAGTAAAAGAAAAATAAATAGATAAAAATTTAAAAAGCTTAAATTTGGCAAATTATAAACATTGACCACAGAATAACTTTTAGGGTCACACTTTATTGTATACTCCATGGTTCAACTTTCCTTTTTAATATTCTTGGGACCAAGCTGGTTGAGTTTTTTACGAGACTCACCTTTCTATCTGATATTTGCTAAGTGATCCTCACAAGACTAGCTCTATCCTGAAATGTAGTTCCCCAAAGGAGTTTATAAAGAGCCTTAGGGACAGAAAGTATGGCCTCAGAAACAGGGAAAAGAAATTGGAATGGAGGGTGTTGTGAAGTCTGAAGTGATTTATAATTGAAAAGAAAGAAAAGGGCTGGGTAAGGAAGAGGGAGGTGAACTTCTAGATATGTGGTAAAGGAAAAAAAATAAGAATCTTCATTCTCTTAGTGAAATTAGAAAGAAAATTTGACTATAAAATTTCAAACTGAGTTCGATATCAATGGGCATTCATAAATCCACTAAAAGATAATTTGGCAAGAAAACTTTTAGATAGCTGCCACAAAGAATGTGACTAGGAAACTATTATTCTATTATTTTATTTCTTTTCTCCCTGTTTAGTGGCAGGATGGCATTATATAAAGTAGAACCTAAAATTGATCTGAAATTACCTTCATGTTAACAAAATGAGTAAAATGTAGTGGCAGCTTTATTATATACCATGCCAAGCACAAGCAAGTAGTACACATTACTTAAAACACTTTTTGTTTTATGCTTTAAAATTCTCTCCTTAATATGCCATGTTTCAATGACATTTTGAGTTGGTATATAGCAATTATTCTGATGCTAAAGTTTGTGACCATGGCAGCTAGGAAGATAAGTATTATAATCAATTGTTAGTTATCATGAATTCAATTAAACTTTTACTTGAATTGTTTTTAGCATTTTTGTGTTTGGATGATAGTAAAAGAATTCCTAAGATTAAAAAAATATATAATTGCCAGTAGTAAAATATGTTCCCTTTGAGAAACCGAAATTGATGTCACTCTGCTTTGCTTCCTGAATCTTAATTTTCGCTTATGTAATAGACATTTTGGATTTAACCAAATGCTTTTTGCAGCACTTTAGTATTTTCTATTTCTGGCTTTTTGGCCCACGTTTTTCCTTTCTTGTGCACTAAAATAGTGCTTATGGACATAAACATATTTTAAATTTCTCCAGATATAATGTTGCTTTGCTTCTTGTCTAAAATTTATCAGATATATTTTATGATTCCCTCAGTTATTATTTTGTCTGACTGATAAAGTGTTTCTCAGAGAAAACTGACTATAGAAACCAGGTATGGTGAAATTGTCTAAATTGATGGTAGAATTAAAATTACTAAGTTTATCCATATGAACAGGAAAAAATCAAAAGCAGGTGTAATCAAGGTCATATGTGCATTTTAGAACTGAATATAGTCTTGTAAATAAATGGAATTCTAGAAACTACATAAAACTAAAGAAAACAAAAACCTTATGGCTCAACCTTTTAAAAGGCCTAAATATTAAACAACCGTCATTAACTCAGAATGAAACACTGCCTCAGATGAACAGCATTGATGTTAATATGCATTGAACATATGTATTTCTCTTCCATTAATTTTAGTTTTTTATGAAGTTCAAGATATTTTCCACATATACAGAAGAGTTCTGTTGTGAGAGAGAGAAATTGATCAAAATAAAATATTTTTAATACCATTCATTAATTGAACACATATTTATTAAGTGCCTATTATATAAGAAGCACCATGATTATCTGGATAAATACCATTTGCTTATCCAGGGAGAGTTCATATTGAGGACAGATATACACGACCTGATCTGTAGGTGTCCTATATGTTTAGATTTCATTTTAAAATATAATTTTGTGCTTTTGCCATCAATATTTTATTGAATAAAACATTTTGATGCAAGAAGGGATCTCTTAGAGATTGTGTTTTATGGATTACCATTTTTTTAAATTTGAAACTTGCAACCAAATTTAGCTCCAGAAAGCAGCCCAGGGGAGAATGTGAGTGAGTTTATGAATGGCCTCTGCTCTCAATAATTACCCAGCTTGGGCTTTTCTTTGTTTACATGACTTTTTTCCTTTTTCTTTGGTTACAGAGATAGTGGCTAGTTCCCTTACTGTGCCAGGATTTATATACACTATCATAAAATTTTCCTGTTCTGTGGGGATGGGTGTGTTGCTTTGAAAAATTGTTGTTCAAAGGAGTGGTCACTAAAGTGAATGATTATTCAGGGAAGTAGGTTGCCTGAGAAAGCAATGAGGTTAAAGGCTAAAGAGGCCCAGTTTTCAGCTTTGGTCATCCCTTTTGTACTTACAATTAAATGAAGCTATAGAAATTGAGTGCAAGTAATTGCTGGGTGAAAATGTCCTTGCCAATTGTCTCTTGTTTAAGGGAGGTCTGATAAATTGCTAGGCCTGTTTTGAGTCAATGGCACTCATGAGCTATCATTGTGTGTGTGTGTGTGTGTGTGTGTGTGTGTGTGTGTGTGTGTGTGT